TCTTTCTTTCTTTCTTTCTTTCTTTCTTTCTTTCTTTCTTTCTTTCTCCTGGCTCTGCCATTGCTGTGTTAAGAGCCGGGGTTGGGTGGTAGAAGAGAGGAGGAGGAATCCTATCTTTAGGAGAGGGAAGACTGTACATGCTCAGGGGACACAGGTTGGGGATCAAAGCCGTGGAGTCTTCTGGACAATCCTTATGAGATTGGAATTCTTGGTGAGTCTCCAGCTCCTTTTGCTGGACTTGGCCCTTTATTAACTAATCAGGACAGAGCTGGAAGGGACCTTGAGGTCTTCTAGTCCAACCCCCTGCTCAAGCAGGAGACCCTATACTGGGGGTGGGATTCTACCAGTTCAGACCAGTTCTATAGAACTGGTTGTTATGATTCTGCACAGTTCGGAGAGCTGGCAAATCGTGCCCCTATCTGTCCCCACCCTTCTCCACCCTTCCCTCCCAGTCAGTCTTTATTGCGCCTGCCCGACATCACTGACTGTGTCCTTCCCCACCCAGTCACTCCTGAAGGAATCTTCAGGTTCTTTTTCCCTTCCCGATGATCAGCTGTGCCGGGATCCCCCTTGCTGTCTTACTGCTTCGCCCAGGATGCTTCCCTGAGGCCCAGGAGGCAAAAGGGGGTGTGGGATACATATGTATGCTGTGCGCCCCGCCCTGTGCTCCATTTTGTGCCTTCTTGGGACCCAGGGAAGACTTCTGGGAGCAAAAATGCCCCCCAGGAGGCTTCCCTGAGGTCCAGGAGGCCCCAAAACAAGGGGCGGTGCTGCAAAAAAGAAGAAGCCACACCCACAGAACTGGTTGTTAAAACAATTGAATCCCACCCCTGCCCTATACCATGTCAGACAAGTGGCTCTCCATTCTCCGTTCATGGACTTACACCCTCTTCTTCTTCTTCTTCAAGTTGCCTGCTGAATGCAACTGTGGGGGTCCCTGGGGTGCCAAAAGGGGTGGCCTAGCAAACATTGATGATGAAAACATTTTGGGCCACAAATGAGGAGGTGGGTGGAAGAAAGCCTGAAAGCTTTCACTTTTCTTTCTGTTTGTTTGTTTTCATCCTTTCCTCTAAAAGAGGCCCTCCAATATTCTCCAGTCATCTCTCTCCTCCCCAGCTCTGGTTAATAAGACCCAAATCATTGTTATTGTTGGCCTTTTGAGATTTCTGGCGATGTTTTCAGAAGAAGAAGGAAGAGGCAATGAGTGGCAAGCAGCTTTGTCCAGAAACTCCTGGACCCAGCTGAGATATTCCAATATCTCCTGTCTCCTCACCCCTCCTAGATGCATGGACACCCACAAGAGAACCACCCACAGCCAAAGAGAAGACACTGAAGTCAAGCAGGTGAGCCATTATCAGGCCCGGCCCAGCTTGGACCTTCAGGAAAGAAAGACACGTCTCCATTTGCAGTCGAGTTGCATCTAGTAAAAGGTATGCTTTCACTAAAGTCAAGTGGTTACAGCAAAAGCAAAGCTAGATCTGAGGATTCCTGCATAAACTCGGTAATCTTCCCTTGTTTCTCCCTGGTCATCTACAATCATGTCCCCTGAAGGCCAATCATGCAGATAAGAGGGAAAAATATTTATTTAAAAATATTTTAAGGAGGAAGCAGGGGAATTCCATCTCTTTGCTCACTCATGCCAGACCAACGCAACACTCTTGCATCATATCAAGCAAACATCTGCATCCAGTGGCTACACCATTATGTCTCCTTGCTGAATGGGTGTTGCCCACCATGAAACTGGGATGAAAAGGGCAGAGTTAAGCAAATGAACTTGGATTGTTCTGGGTATAAACAAGTGATGGATTTTTCCAAGAAGTTCTAGCTTTGTGGTCTTTGGAGTCATCCAAGGAATAAGGTGGAAAGACAACAGGCAGCTGATAGAAAAAAGCAAAAGGGCCTAAAATGTCAAAATGACCACGTGTGAGATTTACTATGTGTTCAACTTCCTGCACATTCCAAAAAGATAAAATATGAGCGGACCGATGATAAGATAGATGTCCATGCTTGAAACATAGAAAAACAAGGCTTTGTGTATATCTCGATGTCCTTCGGGTGTTGTGATGGTCAGATAGGACTCACAGTTTAGGAGCTCACTTTCAAAGGTTCCCCTAAAAATTGTGTGTTGTCAATATACATAGCAAACACACCCTCACAATATGTCCCCTTCCCAAAAATGGGTCCCCACCATGGTGCACTCAAAATAGAAGGGGATCAGGATACGTTTTAGGATGGGAGACTTCTCCTGTGGCCCCTGGACCTAAACCCAAGACAATGTTTCAGAGATTCCTTAGCTCAGGTGTTGTACAAAGAAAAACAAAAGAAGGTGCATCCTGTAAAATGGCATTTCCAGAACCTTCCATCTCCACCTTCATTCCTCAAATGAAACAATGGCATTGTTTATGGAGCCTACCCATCTTCTGAGAAACACACAGCCTAATTTTTTGCATGAATTGCTGGTCAATTTGAGTGACATTACTGACAATAATTTATTTAGAGCTTGTTGGTTGTTTCGCCAAGATTCGGGAGTCTAATCCTCCCTCAGGCAGGAAAACTTCCTGGGGGACTTTGAGCGCATCACCAGGAGACTTTTGAATTCCAGTCCCACCTTAACTCTTATTGAATTTGGGCTGGGAAGTTTGGAAACATTTTCTCAGATTAATGTGAGATATTAAAATTGGAGATTCCTAGAGTGTAAGATGGCCGAGTGTCCAATTTGTGGGTAGTGATGGAGGAAAGTGAAATTGTGGGATAATTGCTGTGGTGGGAATCAAATTTTTTTACTATTGGTTCTGTGGGCATGGGTTTGTGGGTGGGGCTTGGTGGGCATGGCAGTGGAAAATTACTTCAAAAGCCCATTCCTTCCTCTCCCGACTAACCTGCTTTCCAGCTCTGTTCTCCTGTGCAGGGCAACCAATCCAGCTGATCAGCTGGGACTCAGTGGGAGGCAGAGAAGAGATGGGGGCGAGGCCAGTCAGAGGTGGTATTTTCCAGTTCTCCAAACCACTCAAAATTTCCACTACCAGTTCTCCACAACTGGTCAAAACCTACTGAATTCCACCTCTGGATAAACGCCTCTTCCCTGTGGCACAAAGCCAGAAGTCTCTGCCTTCTTCTACTGCTTGTGCAAGAACCAGAGGGATTTGTGTGAATCTTAGACTGACCTTCTTCTGATCCACCAGAGCTTTTCTTATATCCTTAAAATGGAATTTGCAAAGGGATCCTATTCGCAGTTAGGAGCCATTATGAGACATAAAAATTGATTCCTAATTGATCAGTAATCTCTGTGGTTGGAGAGCAGAGAAGCTTCCATGGGTGCCTCTTCCTAGAAACCTAGAAGTCCCCTCCCCACTTATTCAGCCCCTTCTTGGACCTGGATGAACATTATGCAGCATTGGAGGTTTGTGACCTGGTCAATGATGCAGCTGCCTTGAGACAGGATCCCTGCAACCTTCTCCTGGGAAGAGTCCCAAGGTCCCCTTTCTCTGGACATCTTCTCCAGCCCTTCACAGATGAGACAGGCTTGGAGGAGGAGCAGAGAAATGCTTTAGGTACAAATTGTAGAGTGGAAAATTAAAGAGCCTGAAAATGGCTATTTTATTTCTCTGGTTGATGAAAGAAAGAAAAAATATACAGTAGAAATTTCTTTACAAACTTCATTTTTTTATTTACTTTATTTTTGCTGTGAAGTACATACAATCCCAAACTGAAATCCCAGACAGCTGTTCTGCTGAATTCTTTCTGCAAAGGAGGTTTTTATCAGGAAATCAAGAAAGACTCATAGAAGAGGGATGAAGATTTCCCTCCACTGCTGGGAGCCAGTCAAGCATGGCATTTCACATCATTCTGGCATTTTTAGGGAGAGGATCAGGCAACCAGGCTGATGTTTGGTTCCCACAGATTCCTCCTGACCTCTAAAAGAAACATTAACAATTCTTCCACTATCGTAATGATGTTATATCTCATGTTTTTACATTTGTTCTGGCTGTGAGATGCTCCTTTGTGTTCAGCTCTGGCCTCAGAAGGATAATGTAGCACTTGGGGATGAAGATGCAGACCAGCAGACCAGCACTGGAGGCCAAGATGGAGAAGACCTGCACAGCCACCATGTGTTTCCCTTTGGTGCTCAGGTAGGTGGGCACAAAAGTCACCCAGACACTGCAGAAGACCAGCATGCTGAAGGTGATCAGCTTGGCTTCCTTGAAGGCCCCAGGCAGATTCCTGGCCAGGAAAGCCACCGTGAAGCAAATGGCAGCCAGGAAGCCCATGCAGCTGAGGGTGACGTAGAACATGACAACGTCCCCTTCGTTGCATTGCAGGATGATCTCTCCAGGCTGGGAGTGGAGGTCAGAGTCAGGGAAGGGGGAAGAAACTCCCAGCCAGATGGAGCAGATGATAACTTGGACTCCAGAGGAAGACAGGATGATGGAGTTGGCCAAACTCTTCCCCAACCATTTCTTTGCTCGGTTTCGTGGTTTTGTGGCCAGGAAAGCCAGCACCACCATGATGGTTTTGGCCAAGAGAGAAGAAACGGCAACTGAGAAGATGATGCTGAAGACCGTTTGTCGGAGAAGGCAGGTGGCTTTCCTTGGTTGACCAATGAAGAGAGAAGGGGACAAGAAGCAAAGCAGGAGGGAGACCAGGAGGATATAGGAGAGGTCCCGGTTGTTGGCTTTGACAAGAGGAGTTTCTCGGTATTTAATGAAGATGATTAAAACAAGGCCTGTGAACAAGAATAGGGCAAAAGAAACCAGGATGATGCCCAGAAGTTCTTCATAAGACAAGAAGGTTATCACTTTGGGGATACATTGGACTCTTTTTTTATTTGGAAATTTATCATCTGAACATTTGGTGCATTTTTCTGTATCTGAGAAAAAAACAAGAACCCCATATTTCTTTGTCCTTTGTATTTCAAGATATATTGTGCATTCTTTGGGAACAAGTGATTATCAGGAGCATTTTCCGGGATGGATTTCTTAATATCTCTAGAGACAAAAAATAAGTGTATCACTTTTTAAGAAAATATAGCTACAGTTTTTGACGGGCTATGAAATTGAGAGAAGCTTTGGACTTGCAAGATTTCCTTTGTAATGTGCACAATATTGATAGTTCCTATCAATTACTAAATAGTTATAGTTACTCCATTACTAAAGGAAAATAATGAATCAATTAATCTAATCAATTAATTCTTGTCATACGTGCCTCAGAGGTGGCTGGCAGATCAAGTGACTGTTGCAAATAATTTGGAATGGCCATTGGAGGAGTGGTGATATGGATGCAGATACATACAGGCATAACTATCCATGCCACCACATTGTGTATCTCATACATCAGCAACACCTTTTCAGTGTTTTCAAAGGGAACCCATGTAGACTGCATTGCAATCCTCCTTTCAGGAAGTGGACCTAAAGCAATTCCCCGTGTTTCAAGGAACTCAGGTGTTCCTAGAGAAGTAAATGTGGAAGGAAGGACACATCCAAGGTAAAAAGAATAAATATTTTCTCTGGCAGTAGTATAGCTTGTCCAATCTGCCACAGCCACCTCTCTATCCAGCCCTTCCTTCACAGTCTTTTTGCTCTTCTGTTTAGATAAGAAATGAGGCATTTTGGAAATAAACCAGAAACCCATTAAGCTTTAAAGTTTGTTTTAATTCACACTTTCATGACAATGCTCTGGATGGATCCAGTTCCACCAGGCCTCCCATTTTCCTCTGGTGTCACCCACCTTTCTGAATGGAGAAGGTCCCCTCTGGACAAGGAATACAGTCGTAGCAGCAAACTGGCTCTCCTTCTCGAGCCCTCTTGACAAATCCAGGACGACAGCTTTCCACACATTCAGATTGAGGAAAGGACTGAGCAGAAAAAAAACAGGATTGCCAAAGGAAATGTGTTAGGACTCTCCATCCATGGAAAATGGAGGTAAAAATGGATATTAGACAAGATATTAGATATTAACCTCTGGTCTTCACTTAAATAAATACAATATCTCTCACTATTTCCAAATGGTTGGAGATATAACTTCTGGAAGATTCTTTCTTTAGTTCCTCTCTTTTGTTTTTGGCATCTCACATTGCCAAAAAAGGGGGGGGGGGATTTATTAAATAAAAAAGTCTGGAGAGATGGAACCAGTGGTGGGATTGTAATGGTTCTGTCCAGTTCTATAGAACCGGTTGTTATGATTCTGCAGAGTTCGGAGAACTGGCAAATCGCACCACTAGCTGGCCCCGCCCCTCTCCACCTGCCCCTCCCCTCCGTGCCCAGTCAGTTCTTTTTTTTTTGTAAATTTTATTTGAGTTTTCACAAAGAGAAAAACAATACAAATAAAATATCTTTTTTGAAAGTAGCGTAATCCCGGGTTACATTCTTCATACAGACACCAATTCAGGTTCATGCTCATTTTTATATTCTATTCCATATCTTATTACTATTTTATATTTTCTGCATGGCTTCTCCCCTCTTTTAATTTTCTCAATTTTATTGTAATTATCTCATCTCAATTCAAATCATTGTATTTATATTTTTTGTCTGTCCTGTTTCAATTATCTATTATCTTTTCTCATTAAACAAAATTTCTCCTGTATTTACTGATTGGAGTATGACGCCTTTATATCTTTTTCCTAAAGTTGTGACATTCAATATAATACATCAATTCCATTCGGATTCTGCTTGGTATATTCTTAAAATACACACTGTATTCTTTAAAAAAGAAAAAATTATAAATGTATATAATTAAAACAGCACATTCCATTCCAATTCAATTCTATCATTACTATTAATATTCATTAAAATCTTAACTTCTTTTACATTACTTTTCAATTAAATATCATACTTCTGTGGGAACAATTATAAGCTTTCCATAATTAATTCCCCTCCCCTTCACTTATATTTTATAAAACATTAACTAATTAAAATGTTCCCGTTTCTTCCTAATTCAATTTTCTCATTTATTTCATTTCAATTTTTAATATCCAGAAATCTTTATTATCCCTTTGGCATTTTGTTTTATTTTCATCTTAATTGCCTATTAATGTCAAAGCAAATTTTTCCAATTTCTTATTTAAGTCTCTTAGTTGTCAGTATAGGAAAGGAGAGAGAAGGAAAAAAAAGCCAAACCTTTCCCTTTTCACTTTCCTTCGCTGCTTCTGACTCTTCTTTGGGAGTGATGTTGTTTTTTGTAAGTTTAAATTCCAGGGTACCTTGGTTGTTGCTTTTACAATTTAACTCGATCAGCCAAAACTTTCACTTCTTATCTTCCTCCTGCACATTCTTTTCCGGTCGAGTTCTTCTTTGTGGTGGCCATTTCTGACCACCGCTGCAACTGCCTTCAGGAAAGGGAGTAATGGCCAGCTGGGGAGGAGAGATGCGGCTCTCCTGAACCCTGCTGGCAGTCTCCCCTCTCTTCACCACCTCTACAGGGTGGCTTAGCCCCAAAACCAGCCGGCTCAGGGCGCTCCAGTGGCGAGCCCAGACAGAAACCGCGCACGATTGCGGATTTCTGCCTGTCGCCGAAGGCCTTCAAACCGGAAATCCAAGGCCCAGTCAGTTCTTATCGAGCATGTGTGGCATCGCCTGCAGCCTGCTTTTGCCCACTTGCCAGGCCAGCCATTGCTGCATGCCTTTCGCTGTGGCCCTACCTGATCTCCTTGGGTGAGTGAAGCTCAGCAAGCTCCGGGGCCCAGATGCCTACCTGCCACTGCCAGTCACCTTTACCCCCCACCCCACTTGTCTTTTGCTGCTGCCACCCACCACCCACACCCCCAGCAGATAAGGCCCATCAGGTGCGGTGAATCCAGGCGGGGGGCAAGATGCAGACAGGTGGGGACCAGAGCTACATTTCACTGTACTGGAAGACATGTGGAGAGGCTTGAGTTCTCCTACTGCTGGGAGAGCAAGAGGGTCTTTCCCGGCACAGCTCCAGGCAGCAGAAAGAAACAGGATTCAAGTGGGCTGCTTCTCTGCCACCCAGAGCCACCGTTTCCCTATTGGAGAGGAAGTTGCAAACTTTTCGCAGTGCCGGGAAAAACTCTCTTGCTTTCCCAGGAGCAGGAGAACATGAGCCTCTCCACATGGGATTAGTTGAGATTCACACAGCTGCTGGACCCTGCCAGCAGTGAGGCAGAGGTGGGGGGGAGGCAGACCAGAGAGCATGGTCCATTTGCCTACCATCCCTCCCCTCTCCCACCCACAGCCCCTTTGTTGGACCCAGAATAATCATCCCTGGTTGACCCTGCTATGCCCACCCAGTTGCACCCATGTAGGCAACAGGCATTGTCATTTCAAAGTTGAGGGAGAATTTGGGGGAGGAGTTGGGGGGTCCTGCAGTGGGATGGTACAGGAGCTTCATTGAGAAGCAGGGAAGTGGCCTTCTAGTGGTCTGACCTGGTGTTCAGGCTGGAGGCGGGCCAGGGGAAGTCAGAGCACCGAGGGAAAGGGGGATTGCCAGGGGGAGCTGCCCTCTCCTAGCAGAAATGAGACCATTGGGGTAGTCCTAGGAATTGGGTGAGTCGAGCCACAGCTCCTTGCCTTCTTAGCTCAGGGAATGGCCGCTTTCTGCAGGAGGGGGACTGCAGAGGGGGCAGGTCTACCTGAGTGACTCCTCCGGTGTCTTTGCTGGATTATTTGGACACATACAAACGAGTGCAGTTAAAGGCACTGCTGTTGCATGTGAACTCAGGCTTCAATCCGTGGCTCCGTAAAGCCAACACCAAAAAAGTGGGCAATCAGGTGAACCTTTGATGCAATTCTCACTCGGATCTCAGCTGCTCCAGGCTGTCTGACCTCAAAGCCCTTTAGGAGCTGCTATTCCCAGGTTTCTACTCACCTGTGCTTGGTTGCCCCCTCTTCACCTTGATGAAGCGGATGGCCCAGCCTCTCACCCTCCCCTCTCTCGCCTGGCCTAAGAAGGTGAGGGTGATGGTGGGGGATAGCGAAGCGGATGGGTCCCTATCTTCCCGACTTTCTCTCCCACTCTGTGTGTGTCGATGTGTGTCTCCCTGAAAGCTGTGGCATGGCCATGCCAGCAAGCTCTTCTTGGTGCTCGTTACTCCTTTCATTTCTTCTTTTTGGAATCCAGACTGGCTGAACCACAGTGGAAGCATCCCTTTGGGCTACCCTTCTCCTCCTCCTGCTCTTCCTCCTCTCACAACCGGAGGTTGTGGCGGGGCTGGGAGGATGCATGAGTATGGGGAGATGCACCTCAAACAAATGCCAAAGCACAGCAAAACCTGGTATGGGGTGGGTGGCTGCTCACTTAAGAAGCGAGCATCTCCCCACACAACTGCACCCTCCTGATCCATCCACAGTTGCCGGGTGCGAGAGGAGGAAGAAGAGGAAGAGGAGGAGGGTTGCCCAAATGGACGCTTCCACCGTGGTCTGGCAATCATTATTCAGCCAGTCTGGATTCAAAAAAGAAGAAATGAAAGAAGTAGCAAAGAGCACCAAGGAGAGCTTGCTGACTTGAGGGAGACACACACACATTCACAAATACACACACACACACACACACACACAGAGTGGAGGAGAGAGAGGGGAAGATAGAGACCCAGACACTTCACTATCCCCCACCGTCACCCTTACCTTCTCTCACTGCTCCATTTTGTGAACCATCTATGGTTTAGTAACTCCTTCAAACTGGTGAGAAACCCAGAAGGGCTGGAGAATGTGTCACTAAGAGCTTCAGGTTTGTTTGCTCCTTGTGCCCAAAATAGCAAAGAAAAAGGGGGAATTCTGTTGACGAGGGCCTGAATTCAGATGAATTTGAATCATGATTGTGTGGAGGTCTTTTTGGTCCCATTGGGAGAGGAGCTTCGTCCTGCTTGGGGAATAGTGTCCCCTGAAAGGGCCGGTTCATAGTTGGGGAGGTTCTTAAAGAGACCCGACCTGGTCAGACTTATCCATACCTCACACACACACACACACACACACACAGAGTGGAGGGGGGGAAGTTAGAGAAAGAGAGGGAGGGAGAAAGAGAGAAAAAGAGAGGGAAAGAGTGAAATAGAGGGAATGAGAGAAGAGGAAGAGAGAGAGAAGAAGAGGGAAAGAGAAAAGAGAAAGGAAGCAAAAGGAAGAAAAGGCATAGACAAACAAAGGGAGAGATGGAAGGAAGGGACAAAGAAAGAAAAAGAAAGGAAGAGATGGAGGGAGGAGAAAGTGAATGAGATATATGAATGGATAGATAAATACATGGAGGGAGGGAGAGAGAGAAAAAGAGAGGAAGGAAGGACACAAACCCTGGCTTCAGAAGACTCTTTGAAGCAATGCAACAATCTAGGGCTGGCCTGAGAAAAGATTTCAGCATTAAGTGATAACCAGCCGGTTCCTTCTCATGACCCCATTAACACGCATTTCTCCCCTCTTCTTACATCCATAATTTTAAGGTGTGATATCAGAACAATCTTGATAATTTCAGGTGAACTCAAAGCCTTGGAGCTGCTTCCTAGGAGCAGACGGCCCATTGCTCCATCCCAGGGAGGGTGAAAGGGAGGCATGGAGAGCTCTGGCCAGGTCTGGCCTCCTTAAGAGCCTCCCAGATTATGGAGCTGCCCCTTCAGGGGACACTTTTCCCCAAGCAGGACGAGAGGAAGCTTTTTTCCCCCAATGGGGCCAAAAGGACCTCCATCCACTCACGATTCAATCCCATCCGATACAGTCCAAGCCTGGTGTTATGTCTTTAGGACTGGTTGGAGTTCCCAACCAGGTCTGCTGTTTGAGCGGGAGTATCAGCAGCTCCCATTGGTTGGCTCCGTTTGACAGTCGGCTATAAAAGCCGGCTGTCGAGCAGAGCCAGCCCGTGTTTGCTTGCAGTCTGCCTCGTTAGCTGGCAGACGCGACAACCCTTTATTCCCTGAATAAAGACTGTTAGTTGTACGCTCTGGTCTAAGCCTCGTCTATTCCTTCGCTCCACAACACCTGGATTCAGGCCCCAGCCAGCAGAATTGCCGCCTTTGTTGCTACTCTGGGCACAAGGAGCAACAACCAGAAGCTACTAGGGACACATTCCCCAACACTTGTGGGTTTCTCACCTGTTTGATGGAGACCCTTAATTGTACATGGTCCACAAAATGGAACAATATTGAAGCCTCCCAAGCAGCCTAAGGGAAAAAATCCGGTTTCTACTGCTCAGATTCAGTTCTCGCTGAAGGTCAACCATCTTTGGGAAATAGCATCAGCCCTCTTGAAATGGGACCTCAGGCTTTGGAATACAGAGGAAAAACATCAAAACTTTCTCCTACCTTGTTGAGCAATTTTAGCTGTGAAAAAACATCTTGCCTGATAAAAAGTCTGTTTCTTTTAAAATACGCCAGAGTTTCTGTTATGTCCTGAGAACTCCAGGAGTTCTCACTCAGGTCCACTCACTTTGAGTGGGCGTTCTTCCCCCTTTCCTCATTGGTTGGTTCTCCCCAGCAGCCAGCTATAAAAGCAGGCTGCGGGGTCCAACCAGTCGCTGATTGCTGCGAGCCAGTTCCAGGCTTGGCAAGCACGGTCAGCCCTTTATTATTTAATAAAGTATTGTTGCACTCATGCTCTGGTTCAGCCTCTCATTGCTCAAACTTAACACTGGCGACGAGGATGGGATGGCTACCAGTAGCACCATGCAACCGCTGAGTCACTAGCCGCCGATCCGCAACCCAGAGAGAGCGATCGGCCAACAAAAAGAGCAAACAAAAAGAGCAAACGCTGATCCGCAGCCAGAGAGAGCGGTCAGAATCGAAAGTTAGAAGCGTCTGTAGCCGCTTGTTAGCCCAGCTACAGGGAAAGTGAAGCGCTGCGAGCCGCAGCCGCTCTGTATCAGGCGCGAAATTCAAACGGTTGTCATTTGAATTTCAAACCATAAAAGGTACAGCACAGCACTGTAGCCAGTCACTGACGCCCACTCAGGCGCGAACCCAAACGCCATCAACGGCTAACAGTCTAACGTGGTTAACCCAGAGAGAAAGAGAGGATTTAAAACAGCCTCTCCCGAGCTGAAATCACTTGCCCACCACGGGCTCTAAAACATTGTCTGCTGCCCCAGAGAGATTTTTTCCTCAGGTTATTCAACCGGTTCCAGCACCATGAGTTCCAATCCAGTCTTCCCGGCATTTAAACCAGATGAGGAGAAGTGGGAATCGTATAAGAACCGCTTCAATCATTATATCGATGCAGTTGGCCTGGCGGATGGGGGGGAGCATCGGAAAAAATCGTATTTCCTAATCTACTGCGGGGCCACCGTCTACGATACGGCCGCAGCGCTCGTGGCCCCTCGTGAGTTGAAAAACGTTCCGTGGTCAGAGTTACTTGAAATTCTCACTAACCACTATTCCCCCAGGCCCTCACAGATTGCCAGAAGATTCACCTTCCGTATGAGGAAGCAATTGAGCAAGGAGACCATAAATCAATATATGGCCGCTCTCAGAACAGCAGCACTGCATTGTGGGTTTGGAACCTACCTGGAGGACATGCTCCTCGATCAATTAGTCTGCGGGGTCAAGGACCTCCACCTGCAAAGGCGACTTCTCGCAAAGAAAGACCTCAACCTCGCACAAGCAGTCGAGGAAGCCTTGGCAGCCGAGTTGGCAACAACATCAGCCACCGAAATCCAGGGCCCTAGCGCCAAGCTGACATCCCTCCCAGTCCACTCCGAGGAGGTGGTAGCAGAGGAACCCATAAGTGATGAAAACGAAGTCCACCGCCTATCCAATGACAGACGGCCGCAGGTAGGAGCCAGACAAGAAAACAGCGGTCCTCCCAAGCACATCACCCTGTGCCTAGCCTGTGGGGGATCTCATCAGAGGGCCACCTGCAAGTTTAAAGGAGCCACCTGCAATAACTGCCATAAAAGGGGACACATCGCGAGAGTCTGCCAAGCCCCCCAAAGCACAGCACAAAGGCACCCTCCCTCGCACTCGGGACCACAGAGGCAAGTACTGAACTGTCGTACGCACCACCTTGCCAAACACACGTGCCACACTGTTAGTAAAATTTCTCTCTCCGTTTCCCTAGAAGGTAAACCGTGCCGCATGGAGGTTGACACAGGGTCAGCGCTCTCAATTATCTCGTGGAACACCCTTAAGAGGCTCCAACCAAGCCTATCCACTAGCCGGCTCCAGAGATGCCAGTTTGGCCTGAAGGACTACCAGGGGAAGACCATTCCTGTAATCGGCAGAGGCAAGTTCCTTGTCAGTTTTAAAGCTTTTAAAAGTCACCTACCTCTAGTGGTAGTTAACGGCAATCTACCCACCTTATTGGGGCTCGATTGGTTTCCCCATCTCGGCCTAGGGCTAACAGGAGTCCATGCTGTCTCAACCTCAGACACTGACTCCTTATTCGCTGATTACTCAGACGTATTCAGCGAAGAGCTGGGGTGTTATAAGGGTACCCCCATCTCATTCTCGGTTGACCCCCAAGCAGTCCCAATCAGACTAAAACCGCGTAGGGTCCCATTCGCTATTCGGCCAAAACTAGATGCAGAATTGGATAAACTATTAAAACAAGGGGTCATTGAGCCAACAGATTTCGCCAAGTGGGAGACGCCCATTGTCACACCCCTCAAAAAAGACGGTAGCCTGAGAATTTGCTCGGACTACAAGACGACAATCAATAAATTTCTGCAAGTTAGCGCTTATCCTGTGCCCGTCATCCAACACTTATTACACACATTCGAACCAGGCACCATTTTTGCTAAATTGGACATGTCTCAAGCATATCAGCAGTTCCCTGTAGATAACCAAACAGCGGAACTCCAGACAATTGTCACTCACAGGGGTGCCTTCCGATGCAAGCGTCTCCAATTTGGCGTAAGTGTGGCCCCGGGTATTTTTCAATCCCTCATGGAGCGGATTTTGCAGGGCCTCCCTGGTGTAGTACCCTACTTCGACGACATCTTAGTCTCGGCCAGGGACAGACCCCAACTCTTCCAAAGAGTTCGAGCTGTGTTAGAGAGGTTCAGACAGCATGGCCTCAAGTTGAAAAAAGAAAAATGTACCATTGCCACTAGACAGGTGGACTTTCTGGGTTATAAAATTGACGCCTCTGGCATTCATCCCCTGGAGTCCAAGGTTAAGGCAATCCACGAGGCACCCACTCCAACCTCCAAAACAGAACTGCAGGCGTTCTTGGGGCTATTGAACTTTTACGCATCCTTTTTGCCCCATAAAGCATCAGTAGCTGAACCCCTACACAGATTACTGGATAAAAAGTCACCATGGCACTGGGGGGACAAGGAAGACCATGCCTTTAACGCCGTCAAATCACTAATCACGTCAGAGGCGGTACTTATTCAATTCGACCCTAGCCTCCCTTTAGTACTGGCAGCTGACGCCTCCCCTTTTGGAATCGGGGCGGTACTAAGTCACAGGCTTCCCAATGGCGCCGAAGCTCCCATCGCCTTTTTCTCAAGGACGCTCTCTACCACGGAGCGCAATTATAGCCAGATTGATAAGGAAGCCCTAGCAGCTGTTGCAGCCGTGAAAAAATTTCACGAATTCCTTTTTGGCCATTTTTTCGAGCTGGTCACTGACCACAAACCCCTCCTGGGTCTCCTAGCCGGGGACAAGCAGACCCCTCAAGTCCTCTCCCCTAGGATGACAAGGTGGACTCTCTTCC